AAGATTAACCTTCAGCATGGATATAGCTCACCAGCAGCCTCGCACCGAGGACCTATCCATGTCATCATTTACCCAAAATGCTTTGCGTGTAAATAAAATGGCCCCGTCCGTGTAGCATATTTTTAAATTTTTAGTTTGAAATTTATGAAAACTAAACAGCCTACAGTATTTTTACAGTCTTTATTTTACAGTTAAAGTATATGTTTATCAAATAAAGTGTAATGTTACAACTAATCGGGGATGCCTTTAAAGTTCTACCATGCAGTAAAGAAGCATCTAAAAACGCTGCTGTCTGCTTTGAGCTCATTTAAATTAGACTGAGACAAAGTGGAAAACTGTTCTGGGGTCAGACAAATCCTAACTTGAAATTCATTTTGGAGACCACAAATGCCACATCTTCCATTCTGAAGCGGAGAGCGACCACCAGGGTTATCAGCACACGGTTCAGCAGCACAGCTTTGTAGAAGAAGAAGCCACGTGTGTCTGACGCATCAGGAAACAGGGCTGCACGGTTTTAGGAAAACCTGCGCTGTCRGGGCTTAATATGGCGATGAGGATAGGACTTGCGAAAAAGAAACAAATACAGCTTTTCTATTCCAGCACGAGTTTTAGAAAATTTAAAGTGATTCATCTAATTGGTGAAATATTTGAAGTTTTCGTGTGTTAGACAAAACACATTAATGCAAACATTTGAGCAAATTATTTACTGCAGTTTACGCCTTTTTTGCAATATACTTATTACCCCTGCTGTTATGGCACTACATGTTTGTTATATTTTTGTGCAGCTCTGTTGTGAAAGGAAAATACTGGGTGTGTGTTGTTGGTGAGAGCCTCTTTTCACGTTGCTGCAGGACACAGACCTGGTTCCCAGTGACATCGCAGCAGGTTTGGCTCTGCTGCACCAGGAGCAGGACAAGATGGAGCGCAGCAGAGACCCAGAAGAAGTCGTTGTTCCCCACAGCCCTTCCTCTCCTCTCGTAAGTGACCGAGGGGCAGAGCTCCAAGCTGAGGGAGCTGCTCCAACATCACTTCTGTTTTTGCTTCATGAAGGAGAACGATCTGCAGGCAGAGCTGGAGAAGTCGGCCCACTATATGCAGTTCGCGGCAGCGGCTTACGGCTGGCCGCTGTACGTTTTCTCCAACCTGTGCACCGGACCCTGCAGGCTCAGTGGAGACTGGTGAGAGGCTGCGCGCGCGCGTGTGTGTGTGTGTGTGCACACGCCACGTTCTCCATGTCGGTGTGTGTTTGACCTGAACCCCCTAGTGTTTTCAGCTGCAGGACTCGGGCTGCTGAGCATGACGTCGTTGAAGGAGATCACCTCGGCTGCCATTTCTCCTCCATCCTACAGACCACCGGACTGCAGTACAGAGACTTCATCTATGTCAGCTTCCACAACCAGGTGCATGTTTTATCTCATCAGTTTTAGTGGCTTACAGCCCTGTCGCCTCCATGATGTCTGTCTAAGTAAACCTGGTGTTTTACAGATCTACGAGATCCCATTTTTTGTGGCCCTGGATCATAAGAGGGAAGCGGTTCTTGTGGCGGTCAGAGGAACTCTCTCACTGAGGGTGAGTTCAGACCCACAACTATAAAGTTTTTAGTAGGACTGTGAAAGCAGGAAAAGAACATGTCAAATATGATATGAGTGTAGAGGTTTTGATTTTCCCTCTGAGATCAATAAATGGAGTGAATGAATCTGAGATATTTGAAGCGTTACCRTCCCAACTTCATTTAATTCAGTGGTTCCCAATCCTGGGGTCTCATTTATAAAAGATTGCGTGGAAACCACACTAAAAGTGAATGTACGGCCAAAAGGCGGAAATGGCGTACGCCCAAAAATAATTCAGATTTATAAAACCGTGCGTACGCACGTTTCTGCGCATCTTTCCTTTATAAATCACAGCCGCACGTCAGAGTTTGCGCACGAGGTCCCGCCTCAGGTTCTACCCTCTACACGCCCACCATAAACAGTCAATGTAAAGTACCTCATGAATGTTAAGATGTATTTAAATCAGTCAGCTGATCAATGCCAACAAAAGTGATTGGTTC